ACTCCGACCCCTCAGTCGTCCAGCCCTTAGAATCTACTCAGTGCTTTTTTTTTTATTATTTAAAACGATTAGCACATGGTCAGATTGATTCCATGGAAGAAGAATAAGAAGATATGAGTATTATCTTCTGGGATGTGACACAGTACGTTCTGGTAGACGTGCACTTACGTTTTGAAGGAACACACTGCCTCCATCTTCAAGGTCGGAGAGGAAACCAAGCGAGTAACAAGCAAGCACCAAGCTCATTGTGCCCCGAATGGAGAACATGGTTGAATACAAGCAATGATAGGAGCCCAGAGATTGCCAATGGAAAGGGAAAGAGCAGTGAAGGAAAATTGTCCTTAAAAGGGCCATGTCTGCGAGAGTGAAGACATGGGAGAAAGCGAGTGACCGTGGGCCCGGTGAGCAAGAGGATTGCTAGGCAGTGCAGAGGGGATGAAAGGGGGAAGCTGCTGCGAAAAGAGCAGCAAGAGAAACTCGAACACCCCAGAAGGCAGTATACTCGTCCTCTTCGTGTTCACAAATGTGACTGCCTCAAAGCCAACAAGTTTAGGAAACATTGTCAGAATCAGCCATAGACTTGATTCCGTTCTTTACCAGAAGACTGATCAATTCTTATGATATCTAATTATGCTGTTGGTCTATGTAGATTGTAAGATGATCATTAATGGTGAGCAAGTAAGGGCTGAGACAGTGGTGGCCTATATGAAAATAAAAAACTCCGTGGCATCTAGTCTGCAAATGAACTATACCGACCGACCGAGCGATCGCCGATTATGGGAGAAGTTAGCGCCAACTTTAGAGGATAGAGGGTATTGCGTGGTCAGCGCAACGGATCCCCACGGCAGTTAATCTCGATTTTCTAGATCGGAGCCGCTATTTCCTTGAAATAGCTCCTCAGTTATCTTCACGAAGCTGAGTGGACCCCGTTCCAGTCCCACTACTTCTCAGGAAACCTGGTAGCCCCGGGAATCGAACCCGGGACCTCTGGATCTGTAGCCAGGAACTCTGACCACGGTCACCTGTATGGAGATATTGCACTGATATTCAATTGAAAAAAAAAACTCAGTAAGCATAACCTGTAGACAGGGTAAAAGTCCAAAGAAATGCTGCTTTACACGCTGTATATACTTCTGGGGTATAACGCCGTGTAGTCCGTTGAAAGTCAATTGATGTTTCAAAGGAACTTATCGCCTCCATCTTCATGGTCGAATAAGCCAAGCAACAAACACTAGCGTAAAAACAGGTGACAATTCTAAAAGTCTAGAGCTGCAGCGCTACACTGTCCTTGGTGACTGATGTGAGAATCATTGTAAAAGAAATATAGCTGGCTTTGTCTCACCTCAAGAGCAAAGGTACAATACTATAAGGAACAAACGCGAAATTACTGTGATATATATAAAAGGTAAACTATAACACCATTAAACATAGAATAAATAAGTTAATTTATATTTAAGACGATGCAAAAATATATTATATTTTGTCTATTTCCTTATGAGCCGAATACCTACACGATCAGACTGGCTACGTCCTGGACTACCGAGGTTCGAAGTTTGTTCTCTTTTTGCCCACCGCGTCCAGACCGCCATTGTTGCTCAACTGTTCTCCTACAGAATGGATACCGGAAGCTCCTTTGCAGGGAGTAAACTCGCCGGAGAGTGAAGGTGACCGTTACCTCTGCATAGTGCCGTGATAAAATGATGCTCTGAGGTTTACCTCAGTATTCTGATACGTCTTCAAGGTAAAGTGAAGGCAAATTTGTCTCTGTGTTTAATTAATCAAGCACTATACCATCATGACATACAAATGGAGGAATGGGGATATAGCTCCACCGTTCTTGACCTCGGCACTAAATGTAGGTGAATGGTCAGCTTCACGCACCTGCCGCTTTACCTCCGAGAAATGGTTCCCCTGCATCCATTCGTTAGGAGGCTGGACGGGCCCCAGAAGCAGTGTGAACCATGTAGAGTGGAGACATTTTTCTTGCGGCTGCCACAAAACGAACCCCGGCCTTCCATCCCATAGCCCGTCGCTATACCAACTGAGCTATTGCGGTGCTTAAGCACAGCGATAGTTCTACCGATTATGACAATAAAGGAGTAGAAGTACAACTGAAAATTAGTAGGATGCAAGCCTGCGCAGTAGATTATGCACAACAATATATGACATTTTCAGAAAGAATAATTTTATTTGTGTGAAGATACTCGCCAGCCTCTTGGACGGTTTTATGAGCGGGCGGTTCATGCCGTTCATCTTGTGGTAGAGACCGCAAGCGTTGCACAGGTAGTGGCCAGTACCGTCCCGACGCCACAGGGGAGTCGAAATGGCACCGCAGTTCACACATTCGCGACCTTCACCGAACTGAAATTCCATTGCTCCATCTGGGAAGAGAAATAACCACACTGCTTCACTTGCAGAATGTAGGAACCATGTCCGGTTCACTGTAATATTGTGACATATAAAACCATTGCTAGGCAACGCCCGCAATACACGCGCGGTCAACAATACTGGAGCAGTGTTTTCTCTGTGTCCGCGGTGACGTCACACAACATTGAGTACAGGTCACGTGACGTGTTTTCTGTAGGTCTACCCAGTATACCAATGGACTGGCTGGATAGCGAACATGTGACATGTGTTTTCTATGATGAGTGTCCGTGCTGCATCTATATAAATGTGCAGAATTCCTAAACAATAATAGTAAGCGGCAGAAGCAAGCAAACAAGCAGTAAGCTTGAGGAGTACAGAAGAGTAAAATAAGTTGACCTGTGAAGACTGAATATTTGAATTGAAGACTTGATGTGCACTGTGAGTGTGACTGATGTAGTTCTTGTGAGAAAATCCGTTGCCATGAAACTGATAGAGGAGACATTGTGAAGGTGTAGCCATTGTTGAGATCTGTTACCTAATAACGACTAGCATAAGCGGACGTTGAAGAGGTTATTTATGTGTTATAATTACAGTAATCCTTAGATAGCTACAATTAATTGTTGTTACGACCTGTAAATGGTCAATAAAACTAATTACCAATGTGAACCCCGTATTAAGTCACTAATACGCGTGACAATATCTTAAAATGGATTTGAAAACACACTCTTCAGAACAAGATGATTCAAAATCATCGAAACAAAACAATTTACTGAAGAGTTTTGTCTTCTGCGATATACAGCTGTATGATCCTGTGATAGACAACAGACGCATCGAAAGAACACATCTCCATCTTCTGCGTCGAAGATTAAGCCTAGCAAGAAACTACCATGAAATTAGCAGAATGTGCTCTGCTTTTACATTAAACAATTTGTATATCTCTTGCCGCAATTCCATTTCGGCACAAGCTGATTTTTTATGTATACTGATCATGGCGCCCTTTGAATTCAGTTACGAGCCACATTCATAAATGAACCTGCTTTTGAATGTAAACCATTTTCTTGGCTTTGTTATTATTGCTATTATTGTATTGAGCTTACATCTTCCTTGGTAAATTACCGAAAGCCTAATCACTCACAGAAATGCATAAGTCTGTGCCCAGGCAATTATAAATTAGTGGTTACGAACCATCTTTCAGGCTTAAAACGCGGTGATATTTAAATGTTTTGTGGACTTTAAATTTGTAGCAAGACAGAAAGGGAGTCTTTCTCATGATTTTTTTCTATAAATATTTGATCTATTGTTAATTGCTGGGAAGTCCACTTTCCTTAAATTTCAGATAGTTTCCAAATCCCTGATTGGATATGACGCGCTTTCTGCCATGACACACATTTCAGAATGAGATTTTGTAAGTTTACAAGGAAATTAGACCTACTACTGCTCATATTGTCACGATTTCCGTAATCATACGCGTATATAAGAACAGAATACAAATGTTTGCGGACAATCCTATTAAGTTATTAATATAATTATTGTAAATAATACAGTGAAAATAAATGTGCCTCCTTTACTTACATTTCTTGTGTTATAATTATTTATATATTTTGTTATTTTGATTAAAATACTTGGGTATTCTTATGTGACGACAAAATTCTTTAGAGTTTATTCTAATATTTATTCTTTCCCCTTTATTTACGGCATTAACATTAAAACCAAAGTGATTACAAATTTAATTCATTATATTTAGAAGTAAATTATATATTTATCCCTGGCAACGTAGGAGTGAAGTGTAATATCTAAAAATGTAATTCTTTCTGAACGCAGCACATATAATCATGAACACTCGGACAAATATTCATGAAACCACAAATGTAAAGGAAGGAAGCGGAGAATATTATTCGGTATTCTGAAAGAAGTAGACATAGCGTGTCTCAAATGTTACTAATAGCAAATATTTTACTTGATAACAGACTCAAGGTTTGTTACTGACTGGCTTTGGCACGACGTACCATATGGAGACGTCCTTTGGAAGCCGGTGCTGTCGTAAGCTCTCCACGAGGACATCATCATCGCGTTCTGAGCGTAGAACGGACTTGAGAGTGGGGTCTGGTGATGTGGTGCTCCCGTACCCAGGTGGTGATGATGATGATGGTGGGAAGCGGCCGCCGTCATGTAGCTGTCCGGTGCCCCTGGCTGATGGTGCCACGAGCTGGCGCTGCTGGTGGATCCTCCTACGAAGTGGTGGGAGTTGGTTGTGGGTCCCCCCGAGGGGCTGTACTGCGGGTGGTGGTGGTGCTGGGGAAGTCCCCCCATCATTGCTCGGTTAGAGGGAACATAGACGGGATGCTGGTGATGTGCCGTGCTCCCGACAGCTGCAGCGACCCCCAGAAAGTTCCCGGTGTTAGTACCGCTGCTGGGTGGAGTGGAGTCGGCGTAGCTCACGGCGCCCGACAAACCGTTCGGTTGGAACATGCTGCCGTTCCCTTCACTCCATCATCTGAAACGAGGTCCGCACAGAATTCTCGGTTTAAACTGAATTCAATAACAATTACATTTTGACTTCAAATTTCGACGAAATTTTTACTAATTCATACAGCCGAAAGAGTCTAAAAACAAAGATAATATCATTTTTCTTCCAACCCATGTTTCTCTTTACTTCTCTGTGCCCATATAAATTGACGAAACAGAGACCTTCTCAAATCCTGCTACCTCCTACCACGGTCATACTGAAAGCCTGTGAATCATAAAGGAAGTAATCAACAGAAAGCCACCAAATATAGGGATGGCATTGTAGACCACAACAACTATCTAATAAATGAACTAGCCGCTCGACCCCTGGCGAACAGAAGACTCCAACGCCTTTCGCCGGAAGACCTAACCTAGGAGACGCGTGAGGACCCATCAGTGGATGGTAATCGCAACAAGCTACTACGGCGCCCGAATATTTACTTACTACTCTGTTGTCACTAAGTAGATTGTAAATTAGCAACCAAATTAAATAAAAAAAATCTAAGTAATATTCACCTCTTCTTTAATTATCCAACAATAGCTTAAACCAACTCATAGTGCTTATACAGATGGACTTGTTAATAATATTGATGTGTTCCAGGTAAACTTCTCCTGTGGCACCGAAACAAACCGTCACGCGGACTGGCGTTGCCTCATGTGTGTTGCACTTCATAAATTAAGGAAAAGGTTTCTCTCTGCTTAGGAAGATGACGGACCTCTTACGTTCAGTTTTCAGTCGCTTGTCATGCAGTCCGCATAACTGTAGACTTTAATCAGTATATAGTTGTACCATTTTGATATTCATTGACATATAAACATTAAACTTCCACTTTAAGGTATCCAATGTATGAGGGGAAGTCCGAAATTGAGCTTTGCAAGACCTAGGCTCATATCTCGAAATAATCAAGCGAACCGTCTACATAGACAGTACAAAACCATTTCACGATTCTGCACTGTACCCCACGATGGGTGAAGCAGTTATATATTTATATAATTCACAGTGTCCGTTTTTGTTTTATGAAGAAACTCGGGAAAAGTTTTTAGTTTTGCTGTTACATATACAGGTTCGATTCAACGTCAGTTCCTTTCTATATTCGTTTTCCACTATAAAAAAAGCATGAAGCCGTGACGACAGTTCGTAGGGCCTACAGATGTAATTCCTGAGCAACCATTTAACTATGATATTTTATTCAATCGCATTTTTTTTTACTTATGCATGCAAACCACCTTCGGAAATAAAAAAAAATCCATTCATGTCAAAGGGGTTTGAAGCGACAGTCTTCACTTAATCTTTTCATAGACCCCGTGTTTTATCATTTACTTGCCCTTATGAGGAACATGAATGTCAAAAACGGACTAGAATATGAGGAATGCATGAGAAGAGTTACACAGTTCCAGTTCAATTCATACCGTCTCTCAGTGAGTGGGAGATTTTCCTAACTTCGCATTTCCCAGAAGTTTTCATCATACATATTAACTATTCCTCTGCTGAACCAAATAGTCTAAAATACCCCCATGAAAATCAGATATTTGTAAAGAGTTGAAAGCTATCTAGAACTCAGGTACCGCGTAGATTCAAGAGGAGTATCACCCTCATACAAATTTATTGCCTGTCCGTGAGACATGCAATCACACAAAGAAGAGCAATAAAAAATGTTACACAAATAACTGGACAGATTTTGTGCGCTGGTGCGCTTGTATATTTTACTGTGGAATCGGATTTTCTGTCTGCTATCCATAGAAGACGTGTCATATTTTTCAAATAATTATTTGACTTCTGTTTCCAGAACTTCATCAACATGGCCACCCAGATATTGCCCTAGCGCTGAAAACTTAAAGCAGCATCCGGGAGACCGCAGACATGAAAATGATAACTACGTGAAGACACTGAGGACATGAAGGTTGAAGGAGAACTTACCTTACTGTGAAAGGGACAGAGGGACTTATCCCATGCCCGTACGTTTAAATATTTAAGGTGGTATTTACTACGAGCCGTACAGAGACAATTTATTAACCGCATCGAAGGGGCCGCGCCATAGCTCAAGCGGTTAGTCACTGGCTTCCCACCGCGGCAGCCCGGGTTCGATCCCGGGTCCGGTCAAGTGGGATTTGTGGTGGACAAAGTGGCGTTGGGGCCAGTCTTCCCCGAGTACTTCGGTTTCCCCTGCCAAACTTCATTCCACCAATTACTCAAAAATCACCCTTGCCTGTCATCTGGGGCTGGTACAATAGGCCAGAAGTGGCCGCAGTACAAGATCTTACCGTCCCCCTCGTGTAACCTCTAGCCACACCGGTTGCTGTTACTCTTTACCTTCCTTCCTTTCTCTTGTTGTTCTCACCACTGCCGTCGTTGGTCGTGGAGCTCGCAGCTAGGTCGGCTTTAGCTGGCTCCACCGCTTCTCCAACTCCACCACTTCTCTTCACTATGGAAAGGGTATCCGGTCCGGGACTTGGACTGGATGGTTATGGGCGCCAGCAACTGTGGGTACAGCTGCAAAGTGAAGGGAAAAGGTGGACGGGGTGGGAGCTGAT